GACACTAGTACAACACTAACACAGGACATTACTGCAATACTGACACACTGATACTACTGCAACACTAATACACAGGAAACTACTACAACACACTACTGCAAACTGACACACTGAAACAACTGCAGCACTGACACACAGGACACTACAGACACACAGGTCAAACACTGAAACAAAGAACACTTCTCAAACACTAACACAAGGTACTCAAACACGCAGGACATTACTAAAACACTGTAACACAGCACTACTGACACGGAGATGCAGCGCTAAAACACTGATACACAGGACATTTCTCAAACATTGAAACACAAGACTACTCATACCCTGATACCCTGATACATTATTAAAACACTCACACACAAGGCACTACTTAAACACTGATACCAAGAAGATACTTCTCAAACACTGACACGCAGGGCACTACTAAAACACTGACACACAGGGCACTGAAAAGGACACAACTCATACACTGACACACAGGAAACCTGACAGACAGGACAACACACTGACACACAGGACAGTACTCAAACACTGACCTGACACACAGGACACATAAACCCTGCCGAACAGGGCAGGTCACACACTGACGCATAGAACTATACTGATACATTACTCACAGACCATGCATCCACTATGTTCGAAGATATTTATCATGGCATAAATAGTAATATTTTTTGTACTTGATAAAATATTCAGGGCAATAACAGAGCCATATCTGTGTTAAATAGTAATACATTTGTATCTGGACATGCCAATGAGATGTAAATTGCCTTTGTGTATCCATGGTTGAAATCAATACAGCAGTTGCAAAGAAAAAGCAACTTTGCTCTATATGCATACTACATAACTAATCAAAGGCCATAACTCTGTATTGAAGGGTCTGGTCTTAACAACTTCAACAAGGCAACAATATGCACATCTCCTCTTGGTATTAATGGTTCCCTTGAATTCCAGCCAGCAGAGAAGTCGCGCAAAAACAATTATTGCTCTATATGCATACTGCATAACTAATCAATGGCCATTACTATGAGTTAAATTGTCTGACAGGAACAAGGTAATGATATGCCATCTCCTCTTTGTATTGAAGGTTCCCATACAGTTCGCTCTGTATGCATACTGCATAACTAATCAAGGGCCATAACTCTGAGTTAAAGTGTCTGACCAGAACAAGCCAACTTTATGCGCATCTCCTCTTGATATTGATGATTCCCATAAAGTTTTGTTGCAGCCAGTAGTTGCAGAGAAGTAGTGCGGAAACGAATATTGTTCTATATGCATACTGCATAACTAATCGAAGGCCATAACTCTGAAATAAAGTGTCTGACCGGAACAAGGCGACGATATGCGAATCTTCTCTTGGTTTTTAATGTTTTCATAAAGTTGCATTGAATTCAAGCCAGTAGTTGCAAAGAAGTAGCGGGGAATCAAATATTGTTTTATATGAATACTGCATAACTAATCAAGGGCCATAACTCTGAGTTAAAGTGTGACCGGAACAATGCGACGATATGCGCATCTCCTCTTGGTATTGAATGTTCCCATTTAGTTTCATTGAATTCAAGCCAGTAGTTGCAGAGAAGTAGCGCGGAAACGAATATTGTTCTATATGCATACTGCATAACTAATCAAGGGCCATAACTCTGAGTTAAAGTGTCTGACCGGAGCAAGGCGAGGATATCTCATCTTGGTATTGAAGGTTCCCATAAAGTTTTGTTGTATTTCAGCCAGTAGTTACAGAGAAGTAGCACAAAAACGATAATTGCTCTGGTTGCATACTGCATAACTAATCAAGGGTAAGGTAAAGTGCCTGACCGGAACAAGGCAACAATATGCGCATCTCCTCTTGGTATTGAAGGTTCCCATAAATTTTGTTGAATTCCAGCCAGTAGTTGCAGAAAAGTAGCGCGGAAACAATTTTTGCTCTATATGCATACTGCATAACTAATCAAGGGCCATAACCCTGAGTTAAATTGTCTAACCGGAAAAAGGCGACAATATGCGCATCTCCTTTTGGTATTGAAGGTTCCCATAAAGTTTTGTTGAATTCCAGCCAGTAGTAGCAGAGAAGTAGCGCGGAAATGATTTTTACTCTATAGCATACTGCATAGCTAATCAAGGGCCATAACTCTGAGTTAAAGGGTCCAACTGGAACAAGGTGATGATATGCACATCTCCTCTTGATATTGATGATTCCCATAAAGTTTTGTTGAATTCTAGCCAGTAGTTGCAGAGAACTAGTCCGGAAACGAAAAAATTATGGACGGAATGAAGCTCATAGACCATTGGATGTTCGTCCAGATGGAAGGACGGACGGAGGGACAACGGCAAAACAATATCCCCCGCCGATGGAATCGGAATAACCAAACAGCCTTCATTCTGTATGTAAGGTCAAGGTCACACATAAAAGTCAAATGTTCTACATTTGATGTTCGCAACATAACTTGTAAACGTCTGAAAAAAAATGGAATTGCTTTGGCACAAGTGATCATCATTATGAGACAATATGCATTAGTGCATTAATTGGGTTGCCACCCCGAAGGTCAAGGTCATGCACGCTCAAAGGTCAAATGTTAAAAAGTGTACATTTAGTGTCCACTCCATAACTTTTCAACCTCTGAAAAAAAATTCAAATAACTTGGCACAAGGGATAACCATAATGAGACAATGTGCAGAGCGTAATTATTGGGTTGCTACACCTAAGGTCTAGGTATAATGTTAAAAACTAAACGGGACTGACTGACAACCAAATGGACAGACTGCGAAGGCAAAAACAATATGTCTCCCAAAAATTTATGTAAAATGAAGGCTGATTGCGAAAACCAGTGCATTGTATTTTGATTCATTACATTGTCTGCATTCCTCTGTATTTTACACCATTCCAAAATTTTGTAAGAGTAATTTCTCTTGTTATTTTTATTCTGGGCGGTCTACACAAATTTCTGTTTTCGGCAGTCAACTCCGCAAATTAAAAATCAATAAAAACGAAGTACAAAGTAATATTTAATTTTGAAAATTTTTATTCAACATGAAAATTGACTTTATACAAATATACATAAAACTAACCAAAATGTCATGTATATGTTAATACAGTTTAATAGAGTTTAGAGTAAATAACTATCTATAACCTTGTTCTGCTTTGAAACTACCACTACTGTCCATTAGTAATTTCAGGAATTATTTTATCAAGACTCTTATACAAAATTTCCAATCTGTTAAAAAATGAGCCGTGTCACGACAAAACCAACATAATGGGTTTGTGACCAGCATGGATCCAGACCAGCCTGCGCATCTGCGCAGTCTGATCAGGATCCATGCTGTTCCCTTACAAACCCTATAGCAAGTAAAGAAACTGATAGCGAACAGCATGGATCCTGATCAGACTGCGCGGATGCGCAGGCTGGTCTGGATCCATGCTGGTTGCAAACGCATTATGTTGGTTTTGTCGTGACACGGCTCAAATATGTTGAAGCATCTTAATTCAATTTTTCGTGGTTTTTATTATTTATTCACATTATAAAAGGGTATAAATCTATATCTTATGAAATATTCTTATAAAATTTATCAACAGTAAAATAATATTGGTCCCATTATTATATGGTTGATTCCCGAAAAAGTTGTAACATAGAATGTCTCTGTTATTTAACACACATTGTATTAAACAAAATAAAAATAGAATTCTGAATAAAATGTTCCGGAACATAAAATATTATTTGCTATTTTAAGTAGGGTTTTATCCATCTTATTCTAATGGTTTTGTGCATGCATCATTCGCTTTTAACCCTTTCCCTCATGAGCATATTGTGAAAAATGGCCGTTTTCATTGAAAAGCCTCCTGTTACAAGTTCAAACTGCTATGATTTTGAAACTATAAAAAAAAAAATCTATACTAATCAAACTTGGCACAAATGTTGACTGGACCATTGCCTTTGTATCCACATGCTCAGTCTTAAATTTCCTGTTACCATGGCAATGAGGGGACGTCTCAAAATTGCCAAAAATCACTATTTTGCTATGATTTTTTCCATCAAAATTTATTTTAAAGTGCTGCAACTTCTCAAGGAATTGAGATAGAGTCAAAGGCTTTTCAGTGTTGGTTACACTTTACCTTATGATCGACCTGGGGTCATTTTTAGCCTCTCAAGTCCAAAACTTTCTTGGCGATGAGGGGGACTATTGCCCACCCCCCTTCAAACCCCCCCCCCCCAGCAGAAGGGGGCACATTCCCCTTCTGGCAACCCCCTGATGTACTTTTGGATGGGGGCGGCACTGAAAAAGTGCTCACTTTTTTAAGCAACATTTCTCAAAAGAAAACATGTGTTTGGGGCCCAAATAGGACATTTTTCACTATTTGAGGCCTAAAGGAGGGGGGGGGGGGGGGGGAGGGTCAAAAGTGCGTTGTTTCATGTATATATGAGGTAAAGGCAATTATCTACCATGTTTATTTCATACAAGCATTTTGGAAGTATTCGCTTTTAAAATGCAAATAATAATTTTTGCAGCTTTATACACTTTAAGTCATATTGTGACTTTCAAGCTTTCTAGGTGGAAAAAGACCAAAGGTGTCCTTCTGGGTATTATTTCAGGCACAAGTGGGTACATGAGTAGAACCATTGGCTTTCCAAAAGATAGCTGGATAGCTTCTTCACATGAAAGAATCCAAAATCCCTGGCGAGATTTAAGCTCAGTGTATTAAGGTCAAATTGTTTTAGGTCTGTAACATAAACCAATGGCCAATAGAAGCCTCTTTGAAGCTTAGTTCTAATCCATATCAACAAAGTACACAATTTTTATACAAACTATACCTCTTTATTAACAATAATAACTCTCTATCATCAAAGTGAAGCCTGCATACTCTGTCATTATCCAAATATAACTGTTAACACACATCCCTCATTATGATGAAAAGAAATTTCATTGTAAGGCTCACTGTTCTGATACTTGAATTGATGACAATTTTAAGTTCATAAATAGTTCAATTAAAGTTTTGATTCACTAAGTATCTATATGTGTCCTGTCTGAAGATTATGTAACTGTCCCATACTTTGTTGTATTTGGCAATAAGACTGAAAGCTGGTCTGCATGGCACTGAGGGTACTACATAACTCTGATATCATAGCATCCTGAAATTGATATGTTAAAAGCAAATAAATATACAATCAGTAGTAATTTATTTTTACTACTTAGATTGCTAATTCACACTACCTGTTGTGGCAGGGCTCTTATAAGAATTAATTTTTAGACTGAATTTTTGAAATTACATGTACATTCATCAAAAGTAGCTGTAGCTGAGAAGTCATTACAAAACTGACAAAAAGTCATTTCCTGACCGGATTTAAAAAAAAAAGAAAAGGTTTAAAGGGTATTAAGTTTATCTAAAGAAATATTTCCACATGATATAAAAATGTTTATGTTGTTTCCATAATTCTCTGGTTGATTCTAGTAAAAGTTGCAACATAGAATGTTTCTCTATAGCATATATCTCTGACTTGTCCAGGTCTATTATCAGATTAGTGGTTACAATATGGAATTTCACCACAACATGTTTGTTAACTAAAGAGTATACTTAAATCTTTTGTTATTCAAATGAAAGGTCAGAGTAGGGATCTATTAATTGATTATTCAACACACATGAATTCTGTATGTAAACAGCATAAAATATTCTTCTGCTATTTTAGGTAGTGTTTCAACTGTTATGCAATTAGATTATTTTAAACATGCACCATTTGCTCATAAAGACCTATAAAGACACATAAATATACCAACATATTTCTTTCATACAGGCATTTTACAACTCTATTTTTTCAAAATTCAAACTAAACTAATGGTAACTTGAAGGCAGCAGAGATAAAGCTTTACACATTTTTAAATCAGATTTTCAATAAATGTCCTTTTAAAAAAATTAGACAAGTCTATGCTGTATACATACCAGTCTTCCATCTTTCAGTGAAAGTGATTTTGCCCAGACAATATTCTCCAAGTTGGTAGTGAGGTCTGCTAGTAGAGGAGTTATCTGCGGAAAAACTTCACAAGCAAATCTATAAATAGAAAAAAAACATTTCATTAAATAGATCTCTTTCTGTATTTGAATAATAAATGTGAACTAACTTTTTCTGATTTAATCCCTTTGCCACAAGAACTGTCATTGTATAACCACAGTTTATTTGACAAGGACATTTCTCTAAGAACTACAGGAAATACATACAAGATAGATGTTATTTTATAACTTTATACACATATAAAATATATAAAACTTTTATATTATATTAGGTACAAAAAAAATTTTCTAACCTCAAACCAAAAATTATAATAAAAATTCTAAAGCAAATCAATGATTTAAAATATAAAAATAATTATTTATTTTAAAATCCCATCAATGAGAATAACTGTACTAGATGGCACAGCTAGACAAGTACAGGTGTTGTAGGCAGCAAAATGGTTTTAAAAATCAATCAAAAATATCTCATTTCAAGTCTAATCTAGAAGGGCTTTTATCTCAAAAACATGTTTCCCAAAACTGTGTATGCGGAAAATGCTGGCGATACGTACAACTAGGGATGGTAATGATCACTCATGAGAAATATTATTTTTAGCTTTGGTGTCAGATAGGACAAGATTTTTCTATTTATAGCTCTGGTGACCATTTTGTTCAGTGAAGCGAAACGTGCCTGTGATGTGCACAACTAGGGATGGTACTGATCACTCCTGTAAAGGTTGATTGAAATCCCACCAGTAATGTGACCTGAGTAAGCTGGACAAGCTTAATGCGGACAGATGGACAGCCGGCCGAATTGGAACAAGGGGCTATTTCTATAGTTATTTTCTTTTATTTAATAGAGCGCCAATGGCCTCTTATTCTATTGTTATGGAATGAACTATATTGTTCCATTTTGTTCTGTTTACAGTTAGATGGCCCTCTTGCCCTATTCCAAAGTGCTGAACAGACGGACAGACATACTTATGAAATGGTACTTATGTGACTTTTCCTTTGATCTTTTTGCCATATTTAGTCACACATGGCTTAAAAAAGCCACACATGTAAAAACAGAATGAATAAGATCAAAAAGAATTAACCCATTGTTCTCCATGTCACTCACGTACCTCTGGGTTTGTATGGATGGACAGACGGCAAAGGCAAAAACAATGTCTCCCAAAAATTTTGGGGGGCATAATTACTTTCTCTTTAAAGCATGCTTTTCAGTGGACTGTGAAATTATATAGAGGATACCAATTTTGAAATTTAGTTCTGTAAAATTTCTTTTAAAGAAGCAAAATTTATATACAACGGAATTTATTCCTGTTGAGAATTCCATTCATTTATGAAATATTATTTTCATCCACATTCAAATATAGTCTGGCTACAGTGTAAATTATCAAATATAATTTCACTTTCAACTCCATAGCATGTAATAAATGTTGATAATTTCACAGAGAAATTATAATCACATTACTTATGATATTGTGCCTCCAGCTTCAGGTAATCTCCCTGGAATGGCTGCTGAAGACGCTGTATCAGCTGATCTTTACTCTCTATCACAGATTCTATATGACTATTTAAACTCTTTATTTTTCCTATTCTTTTCTCTGAAAAAAAAATATACTGAAAATGTATGGTTTTATACTGACCATATTGACACTCACATTGGTACACAAAGCTAAAATCTGGTAAAAATATGTAAAAGCTTTTTCTTTTTGTGAATATGAAACAGCGGCCGAAATGTACTTAACTCATTGATCAAATAATCTGCATATGACATTTTATTTTGATTTCTGTGCCAGAGATTTTGATTTCTTACACAAGCCCTCTAAAATGTGACAAAATGTCACTTTAAAGATATTGTCACAAAAACCCAACCAGTCACGCTGGTCTCCACAGCTTTTAGTGATCACAGTGACATATTACAGTGCATACATACACCGTATCTGGGGGAAGTGATGACCAAAAATATGAGAGGAAGAAACGGCCGAAATGTAAAAATAAGAAGTGCAGGAACTGGTATCAAAATAACATAAGAAATATCATTAAAGGTACATGACATTTAAATTGAATTAATATCAAAACTTAAGGCATTAAATTGTGTAAATAAATAATTAGACTATGTTTCGTTCTATGCATTTTTTTTTACAACACTTACAGGGACAAGCCTCAATATCACAACATCTCTGTTTAAAGGGAACAGTTATAAAGTAAGCCTAAAAGTACCAACTTGAAGGAAACAGTTACAAAATTAACTGTAAAGTACCCACTTGAAGGAAAAGGTAATAAAGAATGCCTAAAAATACCAACTAGATATTTAGATAATTTTGTTTGTTATTTTACTTCATTCTTGAATGTTGTCTTTATAGCAACTGCTATAAAGGAAATAAAAGCTGCATAACATTTATTGAGAAAACCAATACATATTACTTAGTATATATAAATAAATATTAAATAACTTAACATACCAAGAATGTCCAGATGAGTTATATCTCTAGTTTCTTTATCTTGCATTCTACACTGAATTTCCAAATTTATCTGGGAAAAAAAATACACGCTTAATTTATTACATTATCAGTTTTAACAATAACCATAGCCATCTGTCAGCAAAAGACCAATGCAGACCAAGATCAACCAGTGCAGACCAAGATCAGTCAGTACAGACCAAGATAAGCCAGTTGAAACCAAGATCAACCAGCGTAGACCAAGATCAGTCAGTCAAGACCAAGATTAACCAGTGCAAACCAAGATCAACCACTGTAGACCAAGAATGAAGATCAATCAGTGCAGACCAAGATTCATCAGTACAGACCAAAATCAATCAGTGCAGACCAAGATCAGTGATCAGTCAGTGCAGACCAAGATCAGTCAGTACAGACCAAGATAAGCCACTGTAGACCAAGATCAACCAGCGCAGACCAAGATCAGTCAGTACAGACCAAGATAAGCCAGTGCAAACCAAGATCAACCAGTGTAGACCAAGATCAGTCAGTCAAGACCAAGATTAACCAGTGCAAACCAAGATCAACCACTGTAGACCAAGAATGAAGATCAATCCGTGCAGACCAAGATTCATCAGAATAGACCAAAATCAATCAGTGCAGACCAAGATCAGTGATCAGTCAGTGCAGACCAAGATCAGTCAGTGCATACCAAGATCAGACACTGTAGACCAAGATCAGTCAGTGCAGACCAAACAGTGCAAACAAAGATCAGTCAGTGCATACCAAGATCAGACAGTACCAACAAAGATCAGCCTGTGCAAACCAAGATCTGTCAGAGCAGACCAAGATCAGCCAGTACAGACCAAGATCAACCAGTGCAAACCAAGATCAGCCACTGTAGACAAAGATCAGCCTGTGCAAACCAAGATCTGTCAGTACAGACCAAGATCTGTCAGTGCAGACCAAGATCAGTCAGTGCAGACCAAGATTCATCAGTACAGACCAAGATCAGCCAGTGCAAACCAAGATCAGCCACTGTAAACCAAGATCAATCAGTACAGACCAAGATCAATCAGTGCAGAACAAGATCAGTCAGTACAGACCAAAATCAATCAGTACAGACCAAGATCAATCAGTGCAGAACAAGATCAGTCAGTACAGACCAAAATCAATCAGTACAGACCAAAATCAATCAGTACAGACCAAGATTCATCAGTACAGACCAAAATCAATCAGTACAGACAAAGATCAGACACTGTAGACCAAGATCAGTCAGTTCAGACCAAGATCAACCAGTGCAAACAAAGATCAGTCAGTGCATACCAAGATCAGACAGTACCAACAAAGATTAGCCTGTGCAAACCAAGATCTGTCAGAGCAGACCAAGATCAGCCAGTACAGACCAAGATCAGCCACTGTAAACCAAGATCAATCAGTACAAACCAAGATCAATCAGTGCAGAACAAGATCAGTCAGTACAGACCAAAATCAATCAGTACAGACCAAAATCAATCAGTACAGACCAAGATTCATCAGTGCAGACCAAATTCATCAGTACAGACCAAAATCAATCAGTACCGACCAAAATCAATCAGTACAGACCAAGATCAATCAGTGCAGACATAGATCAGTCAGTGCAGGCCAAGATCAATCAGTGCAGGCCAAGATCAGCCAGTACAGACCAAGATCAATCAGTGCAAACCAAGATCAACCACTGTAGACCAAGATCAATCAGTGCAGACCAAGATCAGTCAGTGCAGACCAAGATTCATCAGTACAGACCAAAATCAATCAGTACAGACCAAGTTCAATTAGTGAAGACCAAGATCAATCAGAGCAGACCAAGATCAATCAGTGCAGACCAAGATCAGTCAGTACAGAGTGCAGACCAAGATTTATCTATGCAGACCAAGATCAGTCAGTGCAGGCCAAGATCAGTCAGTGCAGACCAAGATCAATCAGTAAAGACCAAGATCAATCAGTACAGACCAAGATCAATCAGTGCAGACCAAGATCAATCAGTACAGACCAAGATCAGTCAGTACAGACCAAGATCAACCAGTGCAAACAAATATCAGTCAGTGCATACCACAATCAGTCAGTACCAACCAAGATCAGCCTATGCAAACCAAGATCAGCCACTGTAAACCAAGATCAATCAGTACAGACCAAGATCAATCAGTGCAGACCAAGAACAGTCACAGCATACCAAAATCAGCCAGTGCAGACCAAGATCAGCCAGCACATCTGTATAAACTGATCTTGGTGTACAATATTCTCTATTCAGTCAGTTCATGTTCTTATTTTGAATTTTTTTCTCAAAATGATGAATGGTTTTGTCCTCACTAAAAAAATGAACATGAAGTCTATTTATGATTTATAGCATGGTAAGGATTAAAACACTAAAAAGTCTAGTAGTAACTGAAAAACAGAATATCTTGAATGCTTTGAAGTTAACAGTTTTAGACCAAAATGTCTTATTTGCAATGAGAGTAAAAAAAGCACTGCATGCAGTTTTATCCCCCATCTGTTAGAGCAATAAAAAAGATAATTTTAAGGCATCCCTATTTCTAATGTGCATTCTAATTTCGTTCAGATGCTTTGTAATTTAAATCACTCAGGCCTATAGGCCTTCATGATTATATTTCTATGCTTTGAACTCCACACCCTGCATTATTCTACAACAATGCACTTAGAATTGATATCCATTTCCTAAGCAATGGACAACAAAGAAATTATACAAATCAGGTGGCCACCCAAAAAGTTTGAAACCCAAATCTAACCTTGTTAAGCTCTGATTTTGCCTTGCTCATCTTTTTTAACACTTGTATAAGTTTGATTGAAGGGAGCTGACCATGAGCTTCTTCATCTAACCTTTCATCTTCATACTCGCTCCTCTGTCAAAGAAAATAACAAGACATTTAATTCAATATTTCCGTGTATTGTTTAAGGTCCATAATGTCTTAAAGAAATGTTTTTTTTATTTCTCCAAAACTTTTTGGTGCATTTTTAAGTATCCAAAAAGTTACTGAATGGCCAATTATCAGAACCATCTTTTTCATCTGTTGCTTTTTGGCAATAAGTATAATTATAATGAATTACATGTAGTATTTTGTGTGTAAGTCAAACTACTACTTGTATTTACTATTTGCTATGGGTCTTTTTAAGACACATCAAGATTTATTATCGCCGTTTTACAACATTTACAAAACCTTTCGACAGATTCAAACGAGGCTCCCCAGCTTTGCCGTATACAAATACGCCCTGCTTTGAATTATGGAAACCAACAGATTACTGAATGGCTCCGCCTTGACTGACTGGTTCTCATCTTCAAAGCACAGCGCATTTGCATACGGCAAAGTTGGGGAGCCATGTTTGAATCTGTCGAAAGATTTGGTAAATGGAGTAAAACGGCGATAATCTTGATGTTTATTTTGCCTGTTGCGTTGTTTATATTGACATTGAAGTTTAAAATTGACCATCATCATGAAGAATTATATCTTCTGTGTCGATGGACCTGGCAGTAAACTTCAGTTAGTTGAAGGTGGCCAGTATATTGGAAGAAGAAGAAGAAGGATTATGTGAAAATATTGCAAATGGAATAAAATATGTGGTGATTTTGACGGTAGGTGTGCAGATTTATATTGACATTGAAGTTTAAAATTGACCATCATCATGAAGAATTATATCTTCTGTGTCGATGGACCTGGCAGTAAACTTCAGTTAGTTGAAGCCCAGCAAACACCTGACGTCGTTTTGAAATTCATCAAGTTTCCATTATTTTTTTTTAATTTATTTAATTGAAATACTAATATTGTTCCTTTTTATGGTCTAGTAAAACAACATTTTTTAAAAAAAAATACAATGGATGTAAAAAAAATGAATAACAAAATTCGAATAATTAATATATTGACCTGAAATTAGAGCCACCTATCGGGTTTATAAATCAGAACAAAGGGAAGTAACACAATCAAGACTACTATGTTGGATTACACTCAAATCCGACGTTGTATCAACGTTATTCCAACACGTTGATACGACGTCGCAAATACAACGTTGTTTCAACGTTGTATTTAGGATTTTGACGTCGTGACATAAATCCAACTTAGATCCAACGTTGAAACAACGTCAGGTGTTTGCTGGGAAGTGTCTGTGGAATTTTTTGGACTTCAAGCAAGTCAGTTCTTGAATTTGTCAAGAAAATAATGTCAAAAGAAGTAAAATTTTAATCTAACATTTGCAATATGGCCAGTCTTTTCACCGAGAAGAAGAGCTTTCTTTAAGGCCGTTAGAGATTTATCTTGATTAGCCCATGGATTTCCAGAATCGGGTAAATGATCCATCTCCAGTAATTTGTTTTCAAAGTTGATGCCCTTATATATTCTCCTTTGAGAAGAGTATTCATTGGTACCCAGCTCCGATTTCAAGTCATTTCGGACCCAAGACATTTCGACCTTCACATTTTTACGGTCCATAAGGGTATCGAGCACAATAAGCGGTTACACCTTTAATAATAAACTTAATATGTAAACAAAACAGTCGAGGGCATTATTAAATGATATATGCACGGCATAAAAAGCCATGCTAACACGTCATATGAGTCATGTAACCAAAGACGTCAAAAAAATACTTTTACGCTCTACTTAAAAAGTAAGACTAAATTCTCTATAGAATTTAGCGTGCTTGAAAAGAATAGATATTCACTTTTTTTGTACATTGTAATATAATAATGCATAAGCTAAATTTCTACTCAATCCTGGATGCAATGAATCAATACATTGTAATTTTGTTTGTAAAAAATATTGTTTTTAAAAACCAATAATGCAAAACATTTTGTAATTTTTCACCAGGCCTATCGGCCTTCGTGATTATATCCATGCGTATTCAAACTCAAACCGTGCATTATTCTGTACAACAACGGAATCAAAATTGATATCTAATTATTTCATCATTAGGCCTAGATCTATATGAAATTCGATAGATTTTAAATGACATTTCATTGTGGGCCGTGTAAATGTTTTAATGTTGCAATAGATGAGCACATTTTAGTCTCTTATATATATATATATTTAGAAAGGTTTAAATTATTGTTTCAATGTAAATTAGATCTATTTGCAGAGCGAGATTTTGAAGATCCTGTATGCTGTAATCACGGATTTATATTACAATATAATATAAATCCGTGCTGTAATTTAGGTTGTTACCACGCTTAATTAAGTGAAATTTTATATATGTATATAATCATGCTTCTAAAGCAATTTTCAAACATCAAAGAATATATAAAATTCACATTACAAATATTTGTTCACATTATATGTAATCATTGAAATATATGCATTCACTTCTTATTGAAAAATTTAACTAAGCTTTTATAGAAAATAAATTTTAATTACCTCCCTTTATTAACATAAAAATGTAAATTCGATAATATCTTTTCAAATAATGCTTTTCTGGAACTTACAATATTGATAAATCTTCATTTGAGCATAATACGTGTATTTATGATAAAAAAAACATAAAAAAGAGTTACAGGATCTTCAATACGCGTAAATCTTATCTTATATTCATCTATTATTGGGACCTCTTAATGAATTAAATTTTTCGTACAATTACAACGAAACGTATACGCTTCAATCACTAAATAACTCAAGTCTAAAACTGTGAGTCGTTTCTTGTCAATAACGTATATGTCATGTATGAAACCAGTGATCGATATGAATAATTTATAAGCGTCCCTGATGAAACTGCGACATTGAATGATGTAAGATTCTTAACATTAAAATGCAACTCTTAGATAAAAATAGGAGACATACTTTTGACGTTGATAAAGAATACTATATGAAAATACTTTATGATCTATTTTACTGATAAGAAACAAATGAATTCTCACTGTTAAAAATGTCGACTTAGTGTATCCAAAGACTTCAACTTCACATAGATGTAATGCTGTCAGGTTGTCCCTTAAAGTTATTCGGTCGAAACGAGCTATTACTAGATCAAATTGAAATAATTTGAAATCACCTATTGCATTTTCCTGATTCGGTCATGTAAAACCCGTGACAAAATAGACCTGTCAGTGGGCAGACAGAGAAAACATTAATTTAAGATTTATTTAATAGTGACAGTTTTAAATATATATTATATTATAATAATCTAAACGGTTCTTTTGGCATTAATTCAGTTCATAATATGACAAAAGTGTAAGTTCCAAGTTCATTTCTATGAACCTATAACTGTTATCAAAGCTTACTAATTACGATTTCAAATAGAAATATCCATAACATAAAAATAAATATTTAGAGAAAAAAAATGAGATTTTAAAAATAAAATAATATATCACCTCACATGTTTCACTGACTGTATATCCATAGTTTGCGTTGATTTATTTATACATATGTAAATGTACTGTCTATCTTGCAACATATTGCAACATATCAAATGCCAGAATCTAGCACTCTAGCAAAAGATTTTAATCATACGCTTAACACTTTGTTGTGTGACAATTCCATTTGATTCCATATGATTTTCAAGCAATTGTTTTACTTGTAAGCCTTTTGAAGATAATGCCAACAAAAGAGTTTTCAAAAGTAAAAATTGGTGAGGATGAGAATATTGAATTTTCCCTAGTACATGTAGTAGCCTTTAGTAAGAGATCGAATAAATGTAAATACATTTATTATTCTATAATGTAAAAAACAGAAACTTTTTGACTCAAGTATGCATTTATATATGTATTTTAATTTAAATTTTCTCTATTTTGCTCGCTTGTTCTTAATCACCAGTCAAATATCTATGAATCAAAATTCATGTATCTAGCGATGAAACAATTATACTGACTCACAAAATTCATGAAATATTAACTCAAGTTCAAGGCCAAAATAATTACAAAGATACTTTAAATTCATTTGTGCCACAAACATAATATTTTTGCGGTTTATGAACAGACGTTTTATAATTATTGTTATTTGTTTATTTTGTAAAATTCATGAGAAACGATGTCCTTTTTGTCATGTTCCAGTAATATCTCAAAAATATGGATATCTGTTAATTCTACAGTTGCAGGGTCTCTTGACATATAGGCTATCTAGCCATAACGACAAATAATGCTTCTGCTTTATGACAATGTGACTCAGATAAGTGAGAATGTGGGCATTTTTGTTTATCATATATCATTGTTTAAAGTCTGAACATACTGTTATGTTTTGTGTAAATTTCTAAGCAGCAGATTCAGATAATGATAGTATTTTATGATCATTCTATCATAAAGAAACATCTGCGGATACTTGATCTGATATGATACACAGAAAGATCCGACATTTATCTTAAATTTTATTATATAGAAAATAATTTTGCTTTCACAAACTACATTGCAAAATTTATTAACATGTACACAAGAAGCAGCAACAGATATATTTCAACATGTAATTTTGCTTGTAAATGAGCAATATTAAATGTTAATAAATATTTCTTTGGCATAGACCATGCAAGAACCAAGTTTAAAACGCACAAGTGGTTAATTTGTTGCATTTTTCTAATTACGGACCCACAGGAGGGTAAAATGCATTGATACAGTCTGATATTACCAAAATACTATATCCCTCTGATGGTGATAGTACATAATCCCATAATCCAAAGGAATGGTTTGCTATTTTACAGCTAATAAAAGACCCTACCTATTTATAAGACCACCCACAATTAAGACCAATCCGCAATTTTTATTGTTAATTTCTGAAATTATTTAAATCAAACTGCTATCAAACATTCTCCATCACATTTGTTTTGGTTTTAGTCTAAAATTGGCTACGCTAATAAAACAATCATTTGAAACACTTAGACGAAACTCTTGTGATTGTATAAATGCAAACTAATCTGTAAATAAACGAAACGTAAACAAGAATTGTAATACAATGGTTGCCGTTCACATTGGATTTTATTAAGTGCTAATTGTTATTTGATTTGTGAATAGATTATTTATAAGTTTGATAAAGTCATTAAGACGAATTGAAAAATTAATATAATTATTTTTCAGTGTTATATGTTGTAATACATTTTTATATGAACTCATGTTGATGCATGTATTTACAATTAAACATATGATTCAAAATGAAAAAAATATTGACACTGTGATAGAATATCTAAACCTATAGCACATTCAATTAATGATCTCTAACACCCAGCAGTTAAACCCCATTGGTGACCCAGTATAAATGACCTGACTGCGGTTTGAGACGGAAAGTGAATATGTTTGTAAAGGTACGTACAAGTCATAGCATTCGTGTAAAACTACAAAATCGGATTAGAATAAAAGCTGTGATCATGCATTCATAGCACAAAGACAACAGCCAGGAAAACGTATAGATATCTTTAAACTTGGATAAAGCTGATCCCCTTTCAAAATTCCACTATAAGATTTATCTACAGTGAAAGAAAACCTGTCAATGATTTATAATAATGGTGTGGTGGTGATCTGATTGTGAGTTCTTCGTCAAAACAACAAATGCCACCAGACTAGTAAATGATGATTAACTTTGAAATAAAATGTAAAAGTAGATATATATTTTAAAGTCTTAATAATAACATACTCTCAATCAATTATATCATCTGCTTTAGATGGTTTGAAGTTTGATCATAATCGCAAATTTTCGGTCAATAAGGATCTGTTGATAAGCAAGAAAGATCTTAACTTCATAGCACACTTGACTTTAAACTGAATCTGATCACTACCAAGAAGTCAGAAAACACTGTATGTGCATAATTGAATGTAGAGTTCTAGAGAAACTTTTATTCACCTATCAATAAATTAAATGCGTAGATGTTACAGGTAACATATCTTTGTCAAAAATGTTCACACATATCTTAAATTGACCTTCATCGCATATCTTTTGATTAAAATGTTTGCGGCATTTTAGAATCCCTTCTGTTCCATAATTCCATTCAAGCTAAGTTATCATTGGAAGAGTTTCAGATAGTTTCATTAGGACGAACGGAACATAAGGTTATATCCAAGGCCTTTTATCACGCCAAAAACTATGTCGCCATCAAACATGTCTTCATATGGAATCCTTGTTGACAAACGTCCAATTCTAAGACAGCAAATCCCTCTTAAATTTCTAAAATAAATAGTCAATTTACTGTCTATAATATTCGATAAATTTTCCTGTGACAGTTGTGGTTCTGAGGTCAAATCTGACGACCGTGTCGTGGAATGACTGTGAAAATTGCTTGATATAATGCCTGCAAGGTCTTATCAGGACATGGTATCAAGATCAAACCAATATTTATATATAACTTGCATGTACCTGTGGCATATGTCATGAATTGAAACTTTCAGACATTTCAAGCATCTTACTTTTAATATATACTTTAAATAGCAGACGGCAGTCCAGAAAATCGGGCCACGTATTCATGAGACTTATGACCAGGATCAAAACACAAAATTCTCTGTTGATATTCACATACATTACATTATTAATCGAAGTGGATTTGAACATATATTATATACATGTGATACAGTTGATCCAAATATTGAACTTAATCCAAAAATTGGTCCATCTTTTGGTACCATTGCAAGGCTTTATTTCAGTATTTTGTATTGTTTGTTATAATTGGTTCTATTTGAAAGACCCTGATCTAAAGGAATTCTGGATTCATACGTTCTTTTACCATCAAGTTAAATTCTGTTGTTTTTTTTCCACATTTTAAGTTCTATATTACCATGCACCCTGCTACAGATTATTTTACGCTATTTACGATATTAAACACGAAATACCCAAATATACCCAAATACACCCATAGCAACATTATAGCAACATTTATTTTTGTTTGTATAAAATATAGCTTATAATGAGAAATAAATAAATATTTATAAAATAATATGACTTAGCCTGTAATAACTTTCATTCATTCCGTTGAAATGGGCAGTTAAGATGTTGTAAGAAAATAAAGTTGTGACATTTGCTTATCTACTAATATACAGTATACAGTAGGTTCTTTATGAATGTACTTTCAGTTTTAAATCAAGATATGATATCTGTTGTCTACACTTACATTTTTAAGGTGTAATTTTTGTTGAAATTTCACATCATATACAAGTGTCCATTTTATTTAAAAAAATAATATTTAATGGAGTACATATACAGTACTGTACGTATTTTGGTTCAAAACACAATGCTAGGAAAATGTATATATTTGGGTATGTTTGATTATATCTTAGTGAAAGAGTATATTAAAACAGCACTTTTTTAGTATAAAACATTTATTTTTAGTATAATTGGGCAATATTTGGGTGTATTTAGGCAATATTTGGGTATATTAAGGCAATATTTAGGTATATTTGGGTGTATTTGTGGATATTTGGGTATTTCGTGCTGCCCATTGTACTCAGGCAAATTAATGACAAAAATATTAAAATGATCTTATGAACTCCAATCACGCTAAAATGGCATTTTATAAAATTCCGGCAAGAATTTCTGTATCAATTTTGTATTTTTTGGGTTTGAAGCGTTAATATATTTATTTTACCAAAATCTGGTCCGAAATGACCTGGCCCGAAGTGTCTGGTCCGAAACGTCCGTGGTCCGAAATGTCCGTAATTCATTTGGAATTGTTTTGTATGTTTCGCTAGAATTAGTTAATTATCAGTGACGTGTTTTTGAAAGTGAAACAAGGTAAATATTTGACTTTCTATTATCAGTGATTATTACGATAGTTTCTTATGCATTATGTTAGCTGTCATGAACATACCGATATTAATGCCACGGATCGAATTAATTCAGTAATTGAGCAGTAGATTTCTACATGCAATTTTCACAACCAATTCAGACTGATTCATGGTTTGTTTTCTTGGGGTATTTTCTTTGATAATTCTTGTTTTTTTTATATCAAACAGACAGAATAAGTAATCAATAAAAAATAATAAAAAATGGTCGTGAAACTATGGTGGCTGATTTGTGCCAGTTGTGTTTACGCCCCCCGACCCCGCCAAGCAAAAAGTCGAGAATTAACAAGTTTAAATTGCGGGGTCGCGGAGCGAAAACACGCTAATTAGCGGTGCGCGGCGAAGTTTGACAAATAAAACTTCGCCCCACGAGGGCGCGGAGCAAGAATTAAGAAATAAAACGGCAGGGGCGCGGGGCGAAGTTTAATGAAATAAAACTTCGCCCCACACCCCTGTTAATTAGCTTGTTTTCGTCCCCCGACCCCGCCAAGTGAAAAGTCGAGAATTAACAAATTAAAATGGCGGGAGCGCGGGGCGAAAACACGAATGGCACAAATCAGCCACCATATGATACCGAATACCTACACTTATGATCTTTAAACTTATTGTATCTCTACCAGTATCAGACCTGCTTCCATAAGATTAAACTGTAAAATATGAGCCGCCCTGTTCAGACTTTACGGTTCCTTCTGCTTAAACGTTGGATACAGTAAGGTTACATTTTGATACCAGTGTTTTTATTGTACTTAAGTCCTGTCTACTGAAATGACTGTCATGGTGAGGACATCGCATTCATATCATTTTTCCTACTTTAATCTTCAGCACTGGTTTGTTTTTACACCTGATTGTATCAAAATTGTTATTTCTGAGGTGTGCGACTGAGGATACATGTAGTTTGACTGCGGCAGATACCAAATTATCATCTTATTCATGTATATATTACATTAGTTACCATGTTCTTAGTGTGTTCATCCAAGACTATCTCAAACCGGTGACAAGATCAGCTGGAAATCCCTATTCCCTAAATCAGTAAATGCTTTCAAATAATAAACTAGATGACTACTACTAATAATGATTCTTGCTGTCAGATGTTGTTGCCTAGCCTGGGTCTATGTTAGATAAGGCTATAAGCAAAATTGAACATGTCTCATACATGACCCGCCTTTTTTGTCAGTTTAAATCTTGTATCACTCTTTTAAACCTTTTTTTAGCTCACCTGTCACAAAGTGACAGGGTGAGCTTTTGTGATCGCTTTTCGTCCGGCGTCCGTCCGTCCGTCCGTCGTCCGTCCGTAAACTTTTACTTTAAATGACATCTCCTCATAAACCACTAAGCCAATTTCATCCAAACTTCACAGGAATGTTCCTTTGGTGGTCACCTTTAAAAATTGTTCAAAGAATTTAATTCCATGCAGAACTCTGGTTGCCATGGCAACCAAAAGAAAAAACTTTAAATATCTTCTTTTAAAAAACCATAAGAGCTAGAGCTTAGATATTTGGCATGAAACATCTTCTAGTGAGTGTCTACCAAGTTTGTTCAAATAAAAGCCCTGGGGTCAAAATTGGCCCCGCCCCGGGGGGTCATTGATTTTCCCTATATGCATATAGTAAAAACTTAAAAAATCTTCTTTTAAAGAACCCAAAGAGCTAGAGCTAAGATATTTAGCATGAAACATGTTCTAATGGATGTCTACCAAGTTTGTTCAAATAAAAGCCCCGGGGTCAAAATTGGCCCCGCCCCGGGGGGTCATTGATTTTCCCTATATGCATATAGCAGGCTGTCCAGCGTCCCTAAAATTCCTAAAAAATCCTAATTTTTTTCAGTTTGGCTAAAATTCCTAAAAAAATGAAAAATTCAAAGGGAATTCCTAAAAATGCCCTATTTTTTCACTTAAATTCCTATTTTTTTTATCTTTTGTGATAAACATATCCAGAAACAACCATGTTTCAATCACAACCTAAATTCAAACACAGTCAGTGGAGTTGATATCATGTCTGACTAAATTGCATAAGTCACGTGTTGCATTTACTTCAACTCCTGCAGAAATGCCATACTTGATTAATTGTCAGATGTTATCAGAAAAATAATAAGAAACTGTTTGTTTTAAATGGAACAATGAAAATTGTACCACTTTGACTATATCAAAATAGTCACTTGTTTAAAATTGTGATAAAAAATTTCCAAGGAAGTTACATTTTTATTGGCTATAGAGTTTTACCATTTACCTCAGTCTTAGGTGTATTTAAAGCAACTATTTACACGATGTACCACTAAATTTCATCAGACTGCATGCAGGGGTCCTTATTAATAAAATCTTAATTTGTAATCAAGTTATTTTCAAGTGATGACTGTAGAACAGATCTTTTGTAAGTGATACCAGCTGGCAGATCTAGACAAGTTTCCATATTTGCTAATTATAAAATGGGTAAGGTAAACTGGCAGTAATGATTGAATGCTTTAACCATTTTGCTACCCAATTAGCGTACTAAGAAGTGACACCTTCAGCTGCCCTTTTTGTACACATTAACATGTACTGAACATATGTAATAACATATAGTGTAAGTTTTTTAAAAATCTGGAAAAAAAACTGTTAAAAATCATTAAAAAAACTGACACGGTTGTGAAATTTTCTACAATTTTTAGTAGCCTGATTTATCTTGAACAGTGAAATTTTCTACAATTTTAGTAGCCTGATTTATCTTGAACAAATTCTTCATATGTGTATATCCTGCTGTTTGAATTTAAGTTTAAATATGCCTGGGAATGACTCTAGTGGGTCATATCATTTTTATTGTTTTTTAAGAAAGATCAAGACTTGTTGAAAATGTACCAACCTTAAAATGTTGATAAGAAATGCATTTATAGCTAAAATAAATTTAAAGCATAACTTCCCCTTCCATATATTATCGGCTTATTATATCTTTACTAATTATTTTAACTTGATTAATTGTCAGATGTTATCAGAAAAATATAAGAAACTGTTTTAAATGGAACAATGAAAATTGTACCACTTTGACTATATCAAAATAGTCACCTGTTTAAAATTGTGATAAAAAATTTCCAAGGAAGTTACATTTTTATTGGCTAATCATAGCTTAACTAATTGCATATTGGTTGTTCCTGGATTCTTATAACATTGAAAATGTTTTCATTCTAGTTATGTTTTAATGTAGTTTTTCAGCTCTTTTTAAAGGCAGTTGGCCAGTGAATCAATTTATTCACTGGTGACTATGGAACACTGGTAACACCTTTGCTATAACCGAACTAGAGTATTATTTGTGAGTTACTTTTGTGTCAAATATGCAAAATAATAAATGAGCCCCTACCATGGTCTTTTGAGGTCATAAGTTTGTATAAAATTCCAAATTTGAGCCCTAAAATTTCTTTTATTTACCCTAAAATTCCTAAATTTTAGCCCTAAAATTTCGTAAAAATTGCCCTAAAATTTGCCCTAATTTTTTGTCAGAAGGTGCTGGACAGCCTGATATAGTAAAAACTTAAAAAATCTTCTTTTAAAGAACTCAAAGAGCTATGGCTAAGATATTGAGCATCAAACATGTTCTAATAGGTGTCTACCAAGTTTGTTCAAATAAAAGCCCTGGGGTCAAAATTGGCCCCGCCCCAGGGGGTCATTGATTTTCCCTATATGCATATAGTAAAATCTTAAAAAATCTTTTTTTAAAGAACCAAAAGAGTTAGAGCTAAGATATTTAGCATGAAACATGTTCTAATAAGTGTCTACCAAGTTTGTTCAAATAAAAGCCCTGGGGTCAAAATTGGCCCCGCCCCGGGGGTTATTGGTTTTCCCTATATGCATATAGTAAAAACTTAAAAAATCTTCTTTTAAAGAACTCAAAGAGCTATGGCTAAGATATTTAGCATCAAACATGTTTTAGTGAGTGTCTACAAAGTTTGTTCAAATAAAAGACCTGGGGTCAAAATTGGCCCCGCCCCGGGGGTCATCATTTTCTTTATATGTGTATAGCAAAAACTTACAATCTTCTTTGAAAAAAACCCAAATAGCTAGAGTTTAGATATTAAGCATGAAACATCTTCTAGTAAGTGTCTACAAAGTTTGTTCAAATAAAAGCCCTGGGGTCAAAACTGGCCCGGCCCCAGGGGTGTCATTGCTTTTAACTATATGTGTATAGTAAAAACTTAAAAAAAATCTTCTTTTAAAAAGCCCAATGAGCTAGAGCTTAGATGTTTAGCATGAAACATCTTCTTATGGGTGTCTACCAAGTTTGTGCAAATAAAAGCCCTGGGGTTAAATTGGCTCTGCAACGTTGGGGGAGGGGGGTTTGGGGGGGCCTATATACAGGTGAGCGACCTCAGGGCCATCATGGCCCTCTTGTTTACCTTACAAGTGAATTTCTACGCATCAAAACTCCATACCGGTGTGAAATAGCCGATAAACACCGCTCAGACTGATATTATTTCTTAAATATTAAATTTATTCGTGTTATTTACACCTATTATTTCAGGTGTAAAAGACATGGCAGAGAAGGAGGATATTGCAAATAATCCATTTGCAGCATTATTTCCAAGTATTGACCAAGCACAACTTTTTATTGCTAATAAACAAATCGCAAAACAAGAAAATGGTAAATTTGAAACTGTTTGAATCATATACATGTGTTGATTTATCAGAGAAGTTACTTAAAAAAAAAGATATTAAATTTTTATTCAGAATAGTTCTCTTTCAATGCCTGTATCCATATAGTCTTAAAATTCAATTTGGTATAGTTATGCCTATTTTCTGGCCTTAAAGTTGCTGTGTTTGTTAAGTTTAAGATATAATACATATCGAAAAACTTAAAAAATGGATTTCGAATCATTATGCCCATTATTTTCATGGGTAATTACTTAATGAAAGTGACTGATGATTCTGTAGTCAAACTTGTTAAAACAATTCATATTCCTGAATTGAAATTATTCTGTTTTAGGTATAATAACTTCAGTGCCGACAGAAAGTACTATACCTCAGTGTACTGACATCAAAGAACTTTCCAGACAGAAAACACAGATAAGCACCCTGCTTGAACATATCTTTCTCATTACTTTGGATAATGGTATATATAAGTTAACACTTACCATATTGAATATTTAGAATTCATTTGCACGATTATCATTAGGAGGACGATGTTGTCCTACATGATGACTCAAAAAAATTTTGGGGTTTATCAAAATTTAAAAAAACATCTTT